GGGGGGGGGGGGGGCGAGGGAAAGGCCAAAAACCAACAAGAACCAACAGGCCTGTCTCAGTTGATAGACTCATGAACTGTTGAAATTCTAGAGGTACCGTAAAACAGAAGATTGCAAAAAGAATATATAGCCATGTCAATGGCGTATGGTGCCAAGTTGCCAAACCGTGTTCTTTAACTTAACTTTTTATTCTTTTTTTTTTTTTGTTTTGTTTTGTTTTTTTGAGGGATAGAATCACACCTTGTGCAAGCACCGGCCCATCAACAACAAAGAAATGAAAAGCAGACATCTCGAAAATGACCGCTTGCAGGGCGTGAAAAACAGCATTTTGTGGAAGTTGAAGACGAGCATAACATTCGAAAAGTTATATAAACTCCGAGTCTCCTACCCATAAAAAGGGGGGAAAGCAGGCCATGCGATAGCAGCCCCCTAGCACGCCCAGCCTGCTAACCCCCAATCACCACTAAATAGAAAGCAGGCCATGCTTCGCCCGAGATAGCGCCAGAGGAAGCTTTGCCTGCCGGACATCATCTGCCGAATATACATTGAATCTCCAATTAAATCTTATTTTATTAATTTTTATATCCATCTCCTCATCCCTCCTCTATTCTCCTTTCCACTCCTCTTGTCTCGGCGAATCTCCTCTAGTTTCCCCTCATCTCTACTAATCTCCTCTCCTCTTATCTCTTCTTCTATCTCCTCTAATATCCTCTAATCTCCTCTCATCTTATGGTATCAGTCTATCAGCATAAAATGAAAGGATTTCGTGCTCATAGTACCCACCACACTTCGCACCTACCGGCAGAGGGGAAGGAGTCTAAATCAATGGACTTGGACTGCGAAACCAAGCACGTCGCAGCAGCAAAATGACAGAAACAACATCCACACAATAGCCGCAGCAATAAAATGACAAAAACAACAACAAAATGCCACAGTGGCAATGTTGAAGCGACAGTTTCTCCCCAGCATCCTCCTCTCTGCGCACTGTGTACAATTGTCACTGTTCTACTGACCCGAAACCTGCTCACATTATTCACTTTGAAAGCTGAACAAATCACTAACCTCCCATCCACATAAAGATGACGGGAAGAAAAGGGGGAAAGGAAGGTATGTCTGCATCTGTGTGTGCATGTGTGTGTGCGAGTATTTTAGATTTCCATCACAAAAGACGCTGTGCGTGTATGTGTGTGTGAGACAGAAAGAGGTATACCTCTGTGTGTGTGTGTGTGTGCATGTGTGTGTGTGTGTGTGTGTGTGTG